ATCTTAGGTGTTCCTTGGCTTGTAGAAGCATCACCCCGATCTCTCTTCATCTTCACATGGCGTTCTCCCTGTGTGCATGTCTGTGTCCAAATTTCCTCTTTTTATAAGGACATCAGTCATATTGGATTAAGGCCCCTGCTCATAAGCTCACCTTGACTTGATTATCTGCAAAGACCCTATTCCCAAATAAGGTCATCCTTACCGATACTGGGGGTGAGGACTGCAACATCTTGTCGGGGAGACAAACAATTCGACCCACAATGCCTGTCGTATTGCTTTTGCTAAAACCTTTAAGACAATGCTTAATGATAACAGCAATGGCAGGCATCACTGTCTGATTTCTAATTTAATTGAAATTGTTTGAAATTTTCTTCTTATAGGATGTATTTGCTATTTATTTTTGCTAATAGTCTTTATTAAATAATTTAGTAAATAATAGTTTAGTAAACAAGAAAATAATATAGTTATTAAATTATTCCTTTTCTTTACATTTTACTTAAAATTTTTATTAGGAATGAAATTACTATTACATTTTGTCAAATGCCTTTCTAGCATCTGTTGATTCGATCAGATGTTTTACTGCTTTAATCTACCCATGTAATGGATGATGTTGACAATTGTGGAGTTGTTGAATCTCTCTTGCTTTCCCACAAAAGCCCTTTGTGATAAAAATTTATTATTCTTTTGATACATTGATAGATTCTATTTGCTGACATTTATTTAGAATTTTTACATTGATTTTCATAAGTTAAATCTGACTATAATTGTCGTTTTTGGCAATTCTTTATCAGATTTTGGTATTAAATGTATGCAAATTTCATAAATTTAATTGGGACGATTTCTTTCTTTATGTCTAGCCTAGAATAGTTTGCATTATATTAACTTATCTGATTTTTAGAAGTTAGATAAAACTCCGCTGTGAACCCACCTTGGTCTGTATGTTTCTTAGTGGCACATCTTCAAGCAGCTTTACAATTTCTTCTATGGCAATTGGTCTGTTCAAGATTTCCGCTTTTTATTGAGTCAGTTTAGATAATTTACAGTTAATTTTTTTCCTGTACATTTTCAAAGTATTTGCCATAATATTAACATGTAATATTCTGCCATATTTTTTTTTCAATTTCTCGTAGAATTTCTCATCTTTTTCTCTTTTTTCCTCTCTCACTCTCTTTTCCTTAATCAAACTTGAAAGGAATTTTTCTTTTTTAGTGTTCTTTCCAAAGAAACAGCTTTTGGATTAATTCATCTTTCTACTGTCTTTGATGCTATAATTTTCTTTTTCATTAATTTTATCTTTTAAATTAATAAATTCCCACTGTCTAGCTTCTTTTCACTTATTTTATAGTTCCTTTTCTAATATCTGGTTTCTTTATTTTTATTATTTTATCTTTTTATTTTTTCTTTAATTTTCATCTTTGATAGCTAAATATTTAAATCTATAGATTTTCTTTACAGCTTTTAGTTGTGTACTATAGGTCTTTAGAATAGAGTGTTCTCTTCATGATTTTCTAAGTGCTTTGCTCTTTCTCTTCAATTTGCTGTTTGATCTAATGATTAACTAGGACTATGGTTGTTAATTTACAAGATTTTTAGCCAATGTTTGATTGCTTTTAATTTTTTTTAATTTGACATAATAATATAGCCTTTAAATATCTACTTTTTTTATCCTTCTGTGTACATGCTTACTGCTGATTTTTCACTATTGTTTCCTCTTTCTCCTTTTGAAACTTTTCTTGTTTAGTCAAGTAGCTATTAGTGTCACTCTCCCCTAGCTAACGTAGAATGTTAACTAAACATTTCTGTTCAGTTAATGATTATTGGACTTTCCCAAGGACTCTTAAACAGAAACATGTTTCTAAATCATTATTTTAAATCAAGATACTAAGTACTTCCCACCAGGATGCACAATTTTCCCTTTTCTTCTACTTTATCCTAAGAAGATGAAACCATTTTCAAGATGTTCTTCGTTATTCTTAAAATTTTATTTTGGTAAATTCCGGTGTTGATTTATTAAATTAAAAAAATTAACAAACATAAAACTAAAAAGGAAATTGGGATTGTGATAGAAAGTGTGTTAAGTAGATTTTGAGGAGTAGCGGCATTTTTACCACTTTGACTTTCCTGATTCGAAAACATGCTCTTTCTCTATCCGGGTGTGATTTAAAATCTCTGTCAATTTTTTCACACCAGTTACATGTATATCAGATTTATTCCCCAAATTTTGTACTTTTAATTGCCATTGTGAATGGGATGTCTGTTTCCATTATATTTTCTAGCTGGTTATCATTGTAATAAAGGAAAGCATCTGAACTTTTTATATTTATCTTGTATCTATTTCGAAAATTGCCAGAATATAAAATTTAAAAGTTGGCTCTAGTAGTTATTCATCTGATTCTCCTGGATTTTCTAGGCAAACAATCATATACTCTATTAATAATATGGTTTCCAGTACTTATGTCTTTAATTTCCTTTTTCTTGTCCTGTTGCACCAGCCAGATGTCTCATGTAGTGTGGAACAGCGATACTTAGAGAAGACATTCTTTTTTATTCTTAACCTTAGTCCAAATATCTTTATTTAAATATCTTTAAACATTAATTTTTGTATTCTAATATATATTCTATGTTATTTTTAAAGTTTTATTTTATAGCTATTTTCTGAGTTGTTTCTTTTTATTTAAATCCAGAATAAATCTGGAATTTTGTAGATGTCTTGATATCTTCTGAGATGATCATGAGATTTTCTTTCTTAATCTTCCAATGTAATGATTTACATTAATTTCTTTCTTAAGAGTGAAAGGTCGGAGCCAGACTGGTGGCACAGCAGTTAAGTTCACATATTCAGCTTTGGCAGCCGGGGTTTGCCAGTTCTGATCCCGGGTGCAGACATGGCATCGCTTGGCAAGCCATGCTGTGGTAGGAGTCCCACAGAGAAAGGAGAGGAAGATGGGCACGGATGTTAGCTCAGGGCCAGTCTTCCTCAGCAAAAAGAGGAGAATTGGCGGCAGATGTTAGTTCAGGGCTAGTCTTCCTCAAAAAAAAAAGAAGAGTGAATGGTCTTTGTATTCTTAGTCCCTATATACCCTATAGAAATTGATTTGCTAATATTTTCTCTTGGACTTTTGCATTTTTGTTTTTGAGAGAGTGACCTATAGCTTTCCTATTTGGAGCTGCCCTTGTCTGATTTTGATATCAGGGATACGTTAGTCATTTAAAATATGTCTGAAAGATACTCCAAATGTGTTTTTGCAAGAAATACGAACTACGTCTTAATTCTATTGAAAAATGTCAGTCATGCTAATAAATTCTTGAAAAGAAAGGATTCCACGGTCCTCCAGGTCTGGGAAGTGTATGCCCCTGTTAGAGAGTCACAATACACCTGGTGCAAAGGCTCTGAAAATTCCTGCTGGGAAGAAACTTATTTCTTTAACCCAGCCTTTCCCAAAGTAATTTGAGCACAGAAGACTTTTTTCTTTCTTTTTTGAAGCTTACCTGTGAAAACATCCCACAGGATATCTTTAAAGAGGTACCAGTTTGGGGAATGCCGCTTTAAGCACAAAAATGTTTCTTGCAAATCATTTACAATAGCAGAGATAAGGAAACAATCTAAACAATAAGGGAATGTTGAGGTAAATTATAGTAGAATGGAACATTATGCAGTCATAAACTGCTGTGTGCAAAGATTTTATAAAGGCATGAAATGCGTTCATTTTGATGTTAAGTGAAAAATCAGGATAAAAATATACTGTGTGATCACACGTACATTAAAACTACACAAAGAAATGAAAACAGAGAAAATGATTAGGAATAAATCGGCCAAGATTCAAATAGTCATCTTGGGTGGTGATGTTTTTCTTTTCCTTCTTTGTTTCTATAAGTATGTATTGCTTCCATATTTTGGGGAAAATGGCAATACCAAAATAATAGAAACCCGCAATTTCTACCCAAAGGGAGCATGGAGGTGGGAGTTTGTTGCAGAAGGAGAAAGGTCAGAAGGTGGTGGGTGCCAGGGCCTCTGCCTCATCTGTGTTCTGCCTCCTGCCTGTGGCAGGCGTTTTAGGGCTGCCCACACTCCCGGGGCAGCTGTCAGTGTGGGCAGCCTCTCCCACACCAGGTTCGAACTTAGCAGAATGGGCTGCTGCAGCCCGTATTTCACCCTCCTCCACTCTACTCCTTTTCCATCCTGTCCTCGTACTAACTATATATGACTCTCTTTCCCATTTGACCATAGGCTTCTCCAAGGATGGGAACGGTGTCTGATGGACCTCTGAGTTCCCTCTGGCAATTAGCACAAGGCTTTATGCATGATACATGTCAACAAATGTTTGTTCACATTCTGAAATAACATAAGTGGTATAATTCTCTTTAGACACCCCCCCTCCCCCCCAAATCAACCTGGCTCAGCATAGAGGAGTCGAGAAGGAAGCAGAAGGATTCCCCAGCTCCAGGAAGAAGAACAAGTGTTAGGGGGACAATAAGCTCTATAGCGTCACTGAGGCCACTTCAGATTCTCTCCCTCCAAACTCAGTTTCTCCATTCTTGGACCTTGGACCCCACATCCTCAAAGTAGGGACTTTCTATTCTGCGTAGTGGAATTTTAATTGATTATGTATGACTATCACCCAATTTCAGAGTAACAATGAAATTTCATATATTGGACAACACCCAGTAAGGGACATCTTTTTTCATTACAGAGATAGAGAATTGGGATATGCATTGACAGCTCCAACTCTTGACATATTTGTTAATGGTATTCTGATCCTAACTAATTACACAAAGGTTTACACAATTCTTGACCTCTTCTAACACAGAGAACATTTTACTATGCAATTTTTGAGGGTGAAAGTTATAGAAACTCCTATAAGGGCTAAATCCACACAAAAAAGGTCACGTGCCAATTTCTCTAGGAGGAATCTCTTTCCTGCCTTCAAAAATCATATGCGCAATCCAGAATCTATTCAGCCACTACCTCACTCCATGGTATTTGTTTTCTTCCCTGTCAGATAAGACAAAGCCTAGCTTCCCAAAGATTTTAACGTGGTTTTCACAAGCAACGACTCCTTAATACCAAGAATGGCTTGATCGTGAAAGCTTTCAGGGACTGAGCTCTTCCTCTGGGCCAGGCACCGGGTGAGTGCTCACTCATTTCATCCTCAGAACCCCATGGTGACGGGTTCTGCTATTGCAGGTGAGCAAACTGAAGCCAAGGGAGGTAAGTCACTACACAAGATGACGTGGCTAGTAAGTTCGCAGAAGATCAGAGGCTCAGGCACAGGTCTAACTTTCTCCAAAGCCAAGCCATTTGTTTGTAACTGCTACATGGGAAAATTGGAATTAGCATATGAAATAGACAATACTCGTACAGTCTGGCGATGACAGCAGGAAAACTCCAATTGGCTAACCCCTCCCTAAGCAGCACTTAACGTGCAGCAGGCACTGATCTAAGCGCAGGTCAGATGCGAATTCAATCCATCCTCAGAATGGCTCGAGGAGGTAGGGACCATTATTGTCTCCAGCTTGTAGGTGAAGCAGTGGCACTGATAAATTAAACAACTTGCCCGAGCCCGTTCCCCTGGCAGCAGCAGGGCAGGGCTTGGACCCCACGGAGTCGGGCTCCGGCTCTGGGGAAGAAGCTGCTACTCTATCCTGCACAAGGACCACAGAAGCCCTGGGATTCTCTTCCCGGCTGTCAGACATCTCCATTAAAACCGGTTAGTCTAACACTTGCTCTGCCATCATCATCTTGAAGAGATTTTGGATTATCTTTAGAAATCGACGAGACATGTTTGTTCTGGGCCAGTCAAGGTATCCCAGACTGCTTTCAACTGAATGCATATTTTCAGGCATCCTTGGGAGAAAAGCAGTGGGAAAAATCTGTCTATTAACTCAGTATTTGTTAAATCCACATGTCACTTTGGTGTAAATTGGGCTTTGGACTGACTTATCAGTTTAATGAAACATCTATATCTGTGTGTATGTGTGTGTGTAAAGTGACCTTCCTTCAGATTTTCCTGAATCCAGCAAACAATAAGAGTGTGGGGAGGAGAAAGAAAGTTCTGTATTTGACATCTCCACATTTTGGGGCACCAGCTGCTTTAGAACCACATTAGCGATACTTGTGAAGTACTATTTTCCCAAGAGATTATTATCATCAGAAGAGTGTCTCAAGTTAACATTTTCCAAGAGCTTCCATCCCCTTCATATTTATTATTTGGCTTCAAATTGCCCCAGTCAATAAAATTGCCATTGTTGGTTCGCACCTTTCAGAAAATTTGTGTGCATTAAACACTTTGGCAATATTTATTTATTCTGCCATCTGTCTCACTATCTACACATTCTCAATAGTCTGGCCTAGAAAGTGCCCAAAATCACCTGAGCATCGTGAAATTAGTCCATGGCTGTCAGAGGGACGCATGGAGAACACAGCTGCTGTCCTGCTGCCTGATTTAATGAGGTTCCAAAAGTATGTGGACAAGGATGCTTTCCCTTGGTTACCATGGAAACAGGACGGGTGCTCAGAGCAGGTGTCAGCAGCATGGAAATCAAGATGAGTCAGCTGATGGCTCATCCTCTGGGGGAGGCGTTGACCCAGCCGTGGTGGCTCCAGTTTGCACGTAATCGCACCTTCCTATTCCTTCCTTTGGACGAACTCGAGGACAGAGACCCGAACTCCACCTAGACTTTATTCTGAACAGATTGTGTTACCACATAAGCTTTCTAAGTCTAAAAGGACTTGCACTTTGAAAATCTCAAAATTAGAAATGCCGAGAGTACTTCTGTTCTTTCAAATCCTAATTAATTGGTGATCTCTTGTTTTATTTGAAAAGAAATAAGCAAAACACGATCCACCCCCACACCTCCCTTCCTCCAACGGAGGTTTATTTGACTTTATTCAAAGTCAAACTTGCCTTAGGAGGAAACTTTTTGTTTTAATGAACATAATAGGATATCCAGTGCTCCTGGCTAAACTCACCATTTCTGGGGTCACAGGCTTTTTACACAAAGCTGGTTTTCACCCTAAAGTATGTTGTCATAATCTATAAACTTTACGAGTCACTTCTCAGATGCCATATCGCTTGTAAAGAATACAAAACCTGCATATAAAATAATTCTCTACAATTCCTTCTATATTTATGGAATAGTTTTCAGGTGATAAGGTATGAATGAGAATAGGGCTAACTGAACTGAAATATGACTGGAGAACTAAGAAAAGACTTGAACGCTATTCTTCAGAAAGTTCCAATTTGGCACCAGAAACCTAAGGCACAATAATCTTTGGTAAACATAAATCTCTCCAACTTTTGAAAAAGAAGGAATCTTTAACTTCTCAGCTTCATCTTCTTAAGATTTTTTCTCCATCTTTGTACAGGGTCAAACAGAATTCATTAGCCAATTAGCTCAGAGAAAATAAGGCAGCATATATGCTATACCATGTAGAAAAAGAGCAAAGTGTTCAATTTTTCTGCTTTTTGGCTGAACTGACAGATATTCTTTGTTCTCTAGGAATGTGATGATTTAGGCCAAAATTCTGCTTCCTGAATAATTCAGATAATTGCCTCAATCTCACACTTTACTGAAGTTGGAGAGATTTGACTTCAAAAGGCAGGTGATCAAATTGAAATCATGTTTTGACAAACCTTATTTTAAGCTCTTTTTGAAAGAAAGAAGATAGATATTTACTGCTTAATTAAACATTTGCATGTATTTTGAAAACATAGATGAACCACACAAATGCTGAGCCGTATTAGTCTAATGTTAAGTGGTGAGCAGTGAAAGCTCTTTTGAAATGGAGTGGAGGGTGTGTTTGATATACGAGACTTTGTTCTATATGAATCATCCAATCAGACGTTTTTGTCAAGCACATGTTACAGTTCAGATGTTCGGGGGGACAAAGTTTTCATCCTGGCCCTCAGGAGTTGTGTGCACAAAGTGATGCTTGTTACGCAGCTCTATAGCTGTCAGCCTCCATCACGTCACTCAGGGTCGTTGTCCTGTGCTGTAAACAAAAAAGAGAAGTCTGAAGGCTAGAGTTACACTAAGCATTTCTTGGAGTGTTATTGACATAGGAACATCTAATGTGCATATAAAACAAAAGTTACCAAGTGAAAAGAAATTAAACAAAAAGATTTAATTTAAAGAAATTGTATTGTTGTCAGCCTTGCCTCCAGTAGGAGAATCAGAGCTTCACTTTGGGACCACGAGGTGATTTTTCACTCATTTTGTGGACAGTGTCTCAAGCCCTTGGGAACTGCTGCTAACTCAGAACCATGGGTTGACACATGAGTTCTTTGCTGGCGGGGTCCATCGTTTAGCCTGAGTGGTTTGCACGCCTTGTCCTGAGGGACCCACATGTCGGTTTGCTGATGGCCATGTGTCCCTGAGCTGCAGAGCAGAAGGAAACCAGAGAGGTGAGGCAAAGGGAGTCTGTCATCCTCCCCACTAGCACAGGCCCCACCGCAGATAGACCAACTCTGTGCCATGACCCTGCCTGGCCCTGGGCTGCTCCCCGGGGGTGTCACACCCCCAGCAGGTTGGAGCCTGTTCTTGGTGGTGGCTAACCTCAGCTGGGCCTCAACACTGGTCCTGAAGCCCACGGCCTTTTTTAGGGTGGCTCCTTCTCCACCTCTCAGAGAAGACCACTTTGAATTTCCGCCCCCTCCTCAAACATGTGCTCAACTGTTCCGAGGTGGCCTCTCCTCCCGGCAGACCGTCTCTGTTTCCTCACAGAGAAAACAGAAGCCCTCAGGCAGGAACATGACCAACCCTACAGACCGACCTGACTTCACCCATCCTCTCCTCATTTTCTCCTGTTTTAGTAATAATATCAACAGCTACTGCTTATATGGTGCTTACCATGAAGTATCGACATGTGTTACTTTGCTGCTCCTCATAATAACCCCATGATGTGGGTGCTAGTGTCATCTCCATTTTACAGGTGAAGAAACTGAGGTAAAGAGAGGTTAAGACACTTGCCTGGGGCCACACATTTAGCATGTGGCAGAGCCAGAACGTGACCACTGTTTAACCATTATGCTAAGATGGAGATCAGCTGTTTTTCTCAGGCCAGTTCCTCGCACGGGCTCTGGGTTCTATCCCATCCTGCTTTCTGAGGGACTCATTCTAAGCTCTATCTCTGCCCCCTCCTGGATCGTCAGCCTCTCCCTTCCTATTGGCCCCTTCCCGTCAACAGTTAAACACACTCAAGTTCCCTTTGATCTACCCATCTTTAAGAAATCCTGGATCCTTCTTCTGTGTGTTGTCTTCTGTCTTCTCCTCTCCCTTCCTCCCTCCCTCTCTTCTTCCCTTCTCTCTCTGTCTCCCCTATCCTCATCTTCACAACGAAGCTTTATACAAAAGTCACCACACTCATGGGCTCCATTTCCTCCTCTCCCACTTAGCCCACAGCAATCTGGCTTCTGCCCCATCCTCCTAGAGGAATGTCCCTCAGGTTGCCAGTGACCTCCATTGTGTTGTTTCAGTCTTTATCATGGCACATAATTGGCTTTAAATAAATGTTTGTGGAAAATAAATGAACAAGTGGATAAACAAATAAATGAATATATAAAATCTTATTTTAAAAACTCAGTTTATTATCCCTACTCTGTTCTTCATCCACCTAACCAGCTTACCCCTGGAGACCCGCCAAATCGGCAGATCCCCAGATGGCAGTTTCTCAACCTGAGGTCCTGGCACCACCTGCGTGGGAATGCCCACCCGCACCCACCCGCAGACCAGCTAAGACTCTCTGGGTGGGGTCTAGGATCTGCACTGTGAACAGATCCCGGAGATGAAACTTAGGCACATGGCAGTCGGAGGGCCAACGCTCCCTATCTGCCCTTCTGCTGATTTTATGATTGAAGGATCTTCCTATAAACTAGAAGAAGGGATTATGTCTTGGAAAATATTCACAGATACAAAGGAAGAATAAGTGTTATGTTTGGCATGCAACAATGCTTGTGGAATTTCATCAGTCCTTGCCGTTTGCTTATGACACTTACCCTTTTCATCAGGGCTGTTATTAAAGGTTGCCACAACAGAACAAGAGCGAGAGCAATCAAGGCTCAGACGTGCGCTCTGATCAGCTTCCGCCCGGGAACTGACATTCTGGAGACCAGTCATCTGTTTTCTCTGCTCCCACTTTTTGGAAAAAGTCTTATTTAGAAGCAGGATTGCTTCTCAGACAAATGCACATGAGGGAATATTTCCCCCCTTATGTGAAGATGCTCGGTGTTTTTTGTTCTATGTAATTAATAACTCTAATACTCCCTGTCTATCTGTTAGATTTCCATTTACACAACATTTCATGTGCTTTAGCACATTTGACTCTAACAACAATACAGAGAAGTGGGCAGGGCGTTTGATGCATCATTCCTTCCAAAAACTTCTAACAGGTGTCTGCTGTGTGCCCGGCCCCAGCCTGGGTACCCTGAGAACACGGAAGAGTGTCTGACATGGATGATGCCGCCCTCGGGCACCTTGCAGGCTGCTGGAGGAGATAAGCCACGGACACAGCATATAGCGCAACCTAGAAGGTGCCAAGGGCCCTGAGACTAGATTGTTAATGCCCTGAAGGCAAGAACTGGCCCCACCAGTTGTATCTCTGTGCCAAGCACAGAGTCTGGCAGGAGTCAGCGCTCACTAAACTTGGTTAAATAAATGAGGCGGATCAGTGCTGTGGAAACGCAGAGCTGGGTTGGGATTGGGGGGTGGAGCACTTCCTGCTCGGGGTGGGCCAGTGGACGGGGGCTTCCTGAACAAAGAGACCTTTGGACCCAGCGGCTCTCACCAACCTGTAAACCTTCCCAAGATCTCTTTGCTCAAACCTTGACACGTTAAGCGTAAATTCGTGGTATCCTTGGAAAGACGAGTTTCTTTCTTAGAAAGTCAACCTGCATATCTTACAGCTTGTATTTGGGTGAAAGGCTTTCTCCGTGCCACTGCCCACTTGCATTCGCTATTCTCTCATTTAGTATTAGTTTCAAAGGCTTCCCTCCTCCTTAGTTTTTGTTTGTTTGTTTTTATTCTATTTTCTCATAAGAAAAAAATAATGCAGTCTCGTTATAAACAACTTGGAAAACAGAGAAAAGTTTGAAGAATTAGGGGGAAAAATCCCTCATAATCCCATTACCTAGAGGCAACCATGGTTTGTCTTGGGGGCATATTTCTTTACAGCATTCGTATATGTATGTATTTTTCACATTTATAAGCGCTATTAAAAACACAATTTAAGGGCTGGTCTGGTGGTGCAGCGGTTAAGTTTGCACATTCTGCTTCGGCAGCCCAGGGTTCACAGGCTCAGATCCTGGATAAGGACCTGCACACTGCTTGTCCAGCCATGCTGTGGGGGCATCCCACGTCCAAAATAGAGGAAGATGGGCACGGATGTTAGCTCAGGGCCAGTCTTCCTCAGCAAAAAGAGGAGGATTGGTGGCAGATGTTAGCTCAGGGCTAATCTTCCTCAAAAAAAAAAAAAAAAAAATTAAACAAAACAATTTAGAGCCCCTTCTGCTGTCGTCAAAAGCTCTTAGACAATTTTTTAAAATGCTATGGAACATGACAACATTTTATCATGCTATAACTTTTCCATCATGTTTTACATCTGGATTGTTCTAATTTTATGTTAATACAAATAAAGCTGAAATGAAATCTTTATAAAATGTTGCCTACATTTTGGGTTATTTACTTAGAATAGATTCCTCAGAATGGGTGGAAATGAACATTCTAAGCCTCCTACTTAGGTACGTATGACCAAATTGCTTTCTAGGAAGTTCGCCTCAATGTACCCTGCTCCTATGGGGTCCAAGAGAGATTTCAACACTCCAGTTCACCCTCTCTTCCCATTATAGCCGCTGCAGAGCAAACTACCCCCCCACCCCCTCAGCAACTTAAAGTTGTGGCCATTTTATTATCTCTCACAATTTTGTGGGTCAGGAATTCAGGCAGGGCTCAGTTGGCCGGTGTTTTTGCCCCATGCAGCATTGACTGGGGTTTCTTAGAGGTGTTAAACAGGCAGCTGGTCTGGTTTGGAGGGTCCAAGATGGCTTCCCCACATGTCCCACACTGTGGCAGGGGTGGCTGGAAGCCTGGAATCCCTTGCCCTCTGCATGTGGTCTCAGGGCCTGTTCACATGGTCTCCCCTGCAGGGTGGCTCAGGGCGCCACAGAGGAGCCCGTGTTCCCAGAGAGGGAAGGTGGAAGCTGCCAGTCTTTCAAGGCGCAGCATCACTCCTGCCATATTCTATTGTCAAAGCAGTTACAGAGCCCACCCAGGTTCAAGGGGCAGGCACTGAGACGCTATTTCTCTACAGGAGGAAAGTCAAGGAATTTGTGGCCACCTCTAATTCACCAGATCAGCGTTGACTATTACTGTAAGAAGTATTTATTTGCTTGCTAATTTGAACGATAAGATATGGTAAACCAGTGTTGCCTTCATTTTAATTTATTCATTCTAATCTTTAGCTTTTTCATATATTTATTGCCACTTGACTTTTCCCTCCTGTGAACTGTTTGGTCCCGTCCTTGGGTCTCTCCTGGCTCTGCCACTTACAGCTTCGAGATGTCTGACAGGTTATTTAAACTCTCTGAGTCTCACTTCTTCGCCTGTAGAATGGAGGCAATAATATTGTCTATCTGAGAAACTGCGAGAGTTGCTGTGAAGCTTAAATGAGAGAAAGAATCTAAAGTGCTTGTTTAACATCATGCCTGGCCCATAATAAACACTCAGTACATGCTAGTGACAATTGTTAATCGTATTCCTTTTTGGAGACATGGATATGAAGAGGATGCAGGGCCCCTGGGCTGCTGGGGGCACCGAGTGACTTCAGGCAGAGGAAAAGCCAGGCACCTTCGTGTTCTGCTCGCTGCCAGTTTACAGCCCCAATTCCCTGGCACCTCTGCCCAAGGGCAGGGAGCTGCCGGCTTGTGAGTGGGCACAGTGCCATCCTACGAGATGGGAATGAGAGCAGGCAGCCAGGGGAGCGTGTATATGTCCTGCCGTGTTTGTTAAACAAACCGTTCCCAGCCGGGGAGCACTAAAACAGCTGTCAATCCTGGTGTTACAAACCCTGGTAATAGGAGACGTGGAATCATTAATCCAGGTCTGGGAAGAATTACCTTTCAAACTTCTTTTTTTTAAAGAAACAGTATAGCACACCCAGCAAATACAGAGAAGTTGATTTATGCCTCATCCATCAAACTGAAATAAATGTTATTCCATGGAAACGAGACCAGCACTTTGAGACAAGAGGTAGTAAATTCATTTGCTGAGCCCCAACTGAGGGGTACTCACATTTGTCACTTCCCCCTCTTGTCTGAAGGTGACACTCTGCACCCTGCCACCAGCAGCACAAGCTCTTTTAGTGGCTTTTGCTCTCCATTAGTGATAATGGGCTGTGTCCAGCCAGCCACACACTCTTTTCTGATTGGAGACCAGCAATGCCTGGCCACAGCTAGTAGCCTCTTTCGGTGACATTTTAGACCACAAGCAGATCAAACCATGGCCTTGCCAGCCCTTAGCCCTTCAGGATGTCTTAGGTAGGTGATGGTGAGGGAGAGGCAGACGACGAGGACTCAGAAGGCAGGCTCCTACAGCGTCTCCCAATCGTGTAACTTAGCCTTCCTGACCCTCAGTTTCTACATCTGCTAAGTGGAGACGCAAATGCCTGCCCTGCCTACGTCACAAGAATGTGAAGCCGTACACAACAATGGCCTTATTACCATATGGGATGTTGTCATAACTGATGCAAACACTACGTATTCTTGCTGTATTGTTCTTTTAAAAGGACTTTCACACCTAGTATACATTTTATTCTTTAACGGCTTTGGAATGGCTTAATAAATATCATTTTTCCATTTTACAGAGTAGAAAACTGAGGCGCGTTGAGTTTGACTTGCCAAGGTCGTAGAGTGGAGCCCTGATTCTCACGAAGTCCCGCTGAACCGCACTGTCTCCAACGGAACAAGGATACTGGGGCCCTCTTTCTATGCTCCTCTAGGTCTGTTCCAGCTGGGCCTGAGTTGGAACTCAACTTATATGGCTGGAGGTTTCTCACCTGGAGAAGCTCTTAGAGGCCCATCATTCATTTTCCTCAGTGCATAGAACTCTGGATGGGGGGCTGGACCATCCGGACAGACTCAGACTGGCAGCGCGGCCTGAGTCTTGGAAACGCAAATGCCCTCTGTAAAGAAGCCAGCCTTGTCAGTCAGGCAGAATTGGGCTGCCATCTCCACACTTACTCGCTGGGTAAGTCACCCAAACTCCCTGACTCTCAGTTCCTCCAAAATTGGAGACAGTAAATCACGCTGTGTGAGGTGGTCGGGGGATTAAATAATGCTCAGTGTGCAAAGTATCAGACCTACTGCCTGGCACCAAGTAGGTTGACAATGTTTTCTTTCTCCTTTCCTTATCATTTCTCCTGTCTTTCCCTTTTCCTTCATCCCCTAGGGTTCTTGGAAATATCTCAGCTATGCACTAGACGTAACTTGAATTTGGGGATTTCTAGAGACCGTGTGTCCACTTGATTGGGCTAAGGCTGCCCGAGAGCTGGTGAAACCTTATTTCTGGGTGTGTCTGTGAGGTGTCTCTGGAAGACATTGACATTCGAATGGTAGACTGAGTAGAGAAGACCACCTCTCCCCGTGCGGGTGGGCATCATCCAATCTCCTGAGGGCCCGAACTGAAGAGAAGGCGGAGGAAGGGCAGGTTCTCTCTCTGTGAGCCGCGCATGCATCTTCTCCTGCCCTCGGACATCAGCGCTCCTCGTTCGTGGGCCTTCGGATTTGGACCAAGACTCCTGCCGTCAGCCCCTAGTTCTCCGGCCTTTGGACTCAGACTAAATTATACCGCCAGCGTTCCTGGTTCTCCAGCTTGTAGACAGAAAAGTGTGGGACTTCGTGGCCTCTGTAATCACGTGAGCCAATTCCTATAATAAATCTCCTCATATCTATCTATCCTATTGGTTCTGTTTCTATGAAGAACCCTGACTAATATAACACCTCAGAGCTGAGCCCTGGGGAACAGGACCTCGAAAGCCCTTGGGGCCCCAGTAGCCCGCAGATAGGCCTCTGAAGGAGCCCAGGTGCAGGGATGGGTCAGGAGAGACAAAGGCTGGGAAGCTGGGGTTCTGGGAAGAGCAGCTACACCTCATGGGGACAAGAGTGCCCAGGAGCGCTGGCCGTGTGGAGCCCCCTTGTTTCTCTTTTTAATTCAGAGTCTCTGTTGAACTGACAAGTGCTGGCTGCCCTGTTCAGCAGGGCTGGTCCTGCAACCACCATCTCTGGTTGGATGGTGCAGCTTGATGCCAAACATGGGCTCCCTTGTCCATTTCTGAAAGGGACCCTACCTGTGCCCTCAAACTCTTTGCTAAGGACTTTATCCCGCTGTGTTTGGGGTGGGCAAGGGTGGCTCGGTTAATCCAAGAAGACAGAGAAAGTTCTTCTGGAAGGGCAAAGCATGCCTCTCAAGTATCCAGTAAACGAGCAGAGAGTCTGAATGAGCAGCTAGCCGTGGAAGCTCCGTGGCTGAGCACAAAAAGATGCGAGCACGCTTTCCTTCCTGTCATGAGCTGATTTCTAGAAAACATTGCTTTTAAAAAAATCATTAAAAGCTATATTAGTGGACATTGTGGCCCAAATATTTTAGTAGGACGTACTGTTATCGCCTCACTCCCTGCTGTCTCCAGTTCTTAGGAATAAAAGCCTTTCTTTCCAGAAAAATGAGGGCTGACGTTAGAAAGAAGTGCTTGGGGAATGATACAACTGAACAATTTCATAAGTGTTTACAGCGAACACAGGCTCAGTGGAAAGTTTGGAGGAAAGAGGGAGCCTTTCAAAGCTTTCATAGAAGGTACAGCACCCCTCTGACACTGGGAGGAAGGAGGGGGACCGCAAATAAGAGAGCATCTCAAATCTCCAAAGGAGGAAAGGATGGCCGGAAGGCGCGAGGAGGGGCCGAGAACACATGAAAAAAGACATTATTCCCACTTTGCTGATTACAGAGCTCAACCAAATCCTCCCACGCCGGAAAGAACAAAGTGCTCATTTCTAGCAACCCCAGAACAGAAAAAGGGGATATTGGCGGAATCCCTTCATATTAAGGAGCAATTAAGTTATTAGGAGATTTCAGAGAAGTTCCAAGGGAGCAGAGCCTTTCTCGTACATTACAAACTGCCTCGGAGCCCTTCCTGAAATCACAAGATACAACACTGTTGTATTACTTGTTATTTTTTTGGCTATTAATGTTCACTCATTCACTCAACAAACATTTATCAAGTGACTTCTATGTGGAGGTCACAGAAAACAATTTTAAGGACCCACCGAAATCCAGCAGGTGGAAGAATCAGATCTGAAGTTAGAAAACCCTGATTCAAGTCACCGCTTTGCCACGTGCATGCTTTTTCACACGTGTTTAAAAAACTCCTGGGTCTCAGATTTCTCATCTGTAAAATGATGCTCTGATAATGCTTCGCAGAGTAGGGGCAAAGGCTCTGTGAGTGACAAAGTCCTTTACAAAGGTTGGTTGTCATGATTTTTGTAAAGTTCCCTGACAGGATGGGGTGGCCGCACGCCCTGGTTTGCCAGAACAGTCCTGGGTTACACGTGTTTCCCCAGCCCCTGTTCTCTCTCACAGGTGTCCTAGTCTGGCAAATAAATTTTATGCTGTCCCGCACTGGTAGGATCATCTGTGCAAGAGAAAAGCAAGAGGACCAGAGTTCCAATCTGATCGTTCTCTTGCAGGAAATTTCCGTATCTCACCAGCTATTTGGAGAAGTTCCTTTCTGCCTCACAATACCTGCTCTCTTTGAAGCTGCAGCCAACTCAGGTGTGAAAATTAAACGTGTTCACAGAAATGAGTACTCTGCTGCACGTTTGCAACAGAGGTTTCTCAAAAAAAGAGGAAAAAAAGTAACATGTGGAGCAGCACCCATCACGAATGCAGAATCTGGGCATAAGGAAATGTTTTCTCGCACAAAGGCGTTCTTTAGTTCATAAAATGAAATGTTACATTTCAAGGTGACAGGGCTGCTGGCCTCCACAACAAGCACAAAGCCCCAGCTGCGTCCAGCAACAGCTGAAACCCAGGAGACTGGGGGCTTACCAAGCGGAGTTAGGCTGTTGTGTGGTGGTTGAGAGGGAGACACCACCAAGTGTTGGTTATTGGATTTCTCGACCCTCATGCCCTTGGCTGTGTTTCTCAGTCTCGCCCGGCTTCTGTTTCCTGCCTTGGAGAGCGGGTATGCCTACAGTTCCCACCTCCTAGTGCTGTTCTGAGGGTCAGGAGGGCTGACGCATGTGGAGTATTTAATACAGCCCCTCACACATGGCAGATCGTCCGTTGTAGAAAGGGTTATCATTCTCAATTCTGCTGCTCCCAACAGAGCGCCTTGCAGTGGTCAACAAGCATTTTCATGGGCAACAAATACGTGGCAGGAGTAAGGGGCCAGCCCCTGCTTATACCTTTTCTCCTTGGACCTTGTTTCCAAATACCTGTGTGAGTTCTCCAGAACAAAGACTTTCAAAGGTGATCAGTGAATTTGGATTCTGTCTGGATCAGTTAGCTATTGCCACCATAAAGCTGTGTGACAAACTACCCCAAACCTCCGTGGCTTAAGACAATGGTGATTTATTCTCACCAACACACAGGTCAGCTGGTGTCAACTGATCTAGGCTGAGGCTATTTTAGAGCTCTGGGTGGGGGATTTCAGAAGTAGCTCTGTGAGGACAAGCCTCTCATCCCCCTCCTGCAACCAGGGGCCTATCCAGAGTCTGCTCTTCTGATGACAATGTCAGGGGCACTAGAGGGCCACTGGGAACCCTCCAGGTCTCTCAAGATCTAGGCTCAAAACCAGTCATAGCCACTTCTGCCCACATATCACTGAGCGAAGCAAGCCACATGGCCAAGCCTAAAGTCAACACTCGCCCAAAAGGGCCATGGCAAGGATGTGGAGGAAGAGAGGGGTAAGGAGCTGGGGCCAATTCTCAACATCTCGTCTTTTGCACAGAAGGATGGAGCAAACAAATTCTGAGCACCTCTTATGGGCGAGAACTTGTTTCAGCTTCAAGAAACCCTGTGACATAGGTCACTTCTCTCCATTTCGTAGATGAAGAGACTGAGGGCCAGGCTTGAATCAATCAGCTTTTGCTGCATAACACAGCACTCCCAGACCGAGCGTCTGAATGTCTCTGCGTATTGAGCTCCCAATGCTGCCTGTGAGCAATCTGGGCAGGGATCGACGGGCTCTCTTCAGCCAGTCTCAGCTGAGCATCCATGGTCAGCTGGCAGGCCTGCTGGAGGCTGGCTGATCTGAAATGGCCTCAACCACCTGTGTGGGTTGGCTGGCCATCGGCTGGCCTACAGGGATGCCCGAGCCATGTGTCTCTCCTCACCCAGCACACTAGGCTGGGTTGGTTTACGTGTGGATATCCTGGTTCCAAGGGCAGCAGGAGAGCAAGCCCCAACATGCAGGCACTTTTCCCGCCTTCGCTGCCTTGTTTGCAAATGTCCTGGTAGCCAAAGCAAGACAGAGCCAGCCCAGAGCCGGCGTGGGAGGGGATGATCCGAGGGGGTAGATAGAGGAAGTCAAATAAATGCCGGCCATTTTGTTAATCTACCACAAGTACCTTGCCCGGGGCACACAATAAACGCATGGCAGACTTCCTTCCTGGGTACTTTGGGCTGACAGGCGTGTGGTAAGCACAGCCTGCAAGTCATATGTGTCCCTGATGTGTTCCAGACACGCACATTACTTCCCACAACGGCCACGTAAACTGCCTGCTCCTCGCTGGACTTCCTGCTCACACACAGCCCAAGAGCCCCGTGTCTCAGGCATTAAATAAAAGTGAATAAATGTATTTACATGACCTTTGGAAAAACGACATGACCGTCTTAGAGACAAAATTTACTTTCAGAAAAAGAAATCTTGCCTATGTGATGCAGATTAATTCTCAGAAAGCATTTTTGTAGACAGAAGTGGGGTATTCTGTACGTCTCTGCCCTCGTGCCCGCCACAGTGCCCCAACTTGCCAGGCTACTGCTGGGCCTGGTTTCTAAAGAAGTGCCTGGGATTTGCTAGTGTGCCCAGGTCCTAGCATCTGGGCTTTTTCTATGTAAATATGTTCAAATGCATTCACCCATTTTGCATCATATATCCGGAAAAGGACAAAATCATCTTCCAAATTGGAGAGGACGGGGAGCGGGGAAAATGTGTTTGGTGTTATTGCAATTAGTCACGCTCTGGAATATCCTGGGGAAAGCCTACTCTTGAGTTATTATTGACATAGTGAAGTGGAGGAGGTTAAAAAGAAGTCTGCAGGCACCGTTAATTAACCTCTCCATTATTTTGATTTCCCGGTGCATTTTTCTGACGGGTAGGAGATCACAGGGTCAAACCCTGTTAGAGCTGAGGCCTCCTGGCACTCACAGAGCCCAAGCCTCCTGCTTTCCAGGGACGGGAGGAACTGTTGGCAATCTTCACAATCACAGTGGCTATCAGGTGGGCACGGGTCCTGGTCCCGCGTCCTTCACGAGGCGCTCCCGCGTCCTAAGGCTGCTCGGACGCTGCTTCTCCTCCAGAAAGCCTTCCTGGAATGGGTTTCTCCTTCTGCCACTCTTGGCCCTCTCTTAGTGCCTCCTTGCAGTGGATACTGGGGTATTCTGCCCCATTCCCCTCGTTAGGATGACAGCATTCATCCCCCAGCTGCTCACAGCGGCAGCCTTCGGCCATAGGGAATAGACTCGCCCAAGGTTACGCCCCTGGGGGCGCCTGCAGCCAGTGCCTGGCCGAAGCAGAGAGACTTAGCCCATTTCTCTTCATTTAGGCACATCCTGGCCTCAGAGCCCCGTAAATCGGCTGAGGCCTGTGTTGCACCTGCACTGTTGTGGAGCCCCTTCTCCTTTTTTCTGCCCGATCCTTACTTCCTTGCTGGTCCACCTCC